CTTTCAAATTTCCTTTACGTTCGCGCCTTCGCTGGAGAGCACTTTTGAGAGAAGCCAAACACGCAATGCTGAGGAGGAAATGACGGTTTGCGGAGCAACCTAAAAGGGGCGGGTTGACCTAAAGCCCGTAACGAATTTCTAACATACTACGACGACTATCTGAATTTGGGGAATCGCTTAGTCCGAGCTCATTATGGGGTGAGAAATCAATCCTCAATTTCGTCCGGACACTGCCTTACTGAAAGCGAGCAACACCCTTTAGGTGGTTCAAAAACTGCGGTACTGTGGCATTTATTCAAGAAATAAAACTTAGCAACTCATATGCATTTTGGACATAAAATAGGAATGGTGTCATTTGAATCTTCAAATGGCACCAACTGACGAGGTGGGGTAAGCGTGCAAATACAGGAATGGAAACAATAATTTGATGGCTGCTGTCTGCAGCAGTAATAATGCAACACTGATAACATGAACAAGTGCAAGAACAATAGCGAGACATGTGGACACCAGCAAGTGGTCGTAAATGCAGCGCGACCTCTCTTCCGCACACTGTCACACACACAGAAAGCAATCAACACCGTTGCGTCTCAGAGTTCGATTTTTAATTAGATAATTGGGCAACTCTCACTACTCAAAAAATTAGTTTTTGATGTGTTACATGGCTTATGCACTTATTCAATTTTTCAGCGTTGGTAACGATAGGTAGGTTGCAAACAACGTTAGCTGTTACAGATGGGGGATTTGAAAGAGATATTCCTACAACCTCTTTTTCCAAATCAAAGTATTTTAAAAATATCTTCACCGTAAAATGATAAAATATATATGAGAGAAGTTACCAGAAAATGCCATTGTTAACATACATTAGGCAATATTGACCAAAAAAATTGGTAGTCATTCAGGACTCGAAAATGGTGTATGCTGGCATGAAAAACGGACTAAAAGTTTCTCAATTCCTTAAGACGTAAGTTCCTAGTATCTGTAATTGGCATGTAAACTCTCGCAGAACTGCATGCAACCATTTTGCCATGAAACCAATGTACTGACTAACAATAAACATGACGCACCCTCTTCTAAACTGTTCTAGAATTGTCTTCCTACCATCTTCCATATATTTCCGCTTAGCGAGCTATCAAGAAGGAAAACTTCCAAATCCCAGCGCATCGTAAATTATAGATCACTCACTTACTTATATCTCCTTACAGTATACATATTCTACACACTCACTACTTTCTGTAAAAATTCCAACAACATTGATATTTTCAGTATAGATCTCAAAAATCTCTTGCAACAACCTGCAATAACTCCTAGAAAAAACCTTCAATTTTGAAAAAGACTACCAACAAATTCGTGAGACTAATGCTTTGGAAGTACAATTGGAATTCCCATACGGTTATCTCGGTAATGAAGTAAACTGGTTTTCGCAAGCAAACTTTAGTTATAACGTAGAACAACATGAAGATTCACATGCACTGATCGATAAAAAGTAGCACTATGTCTTTCTAACAAGGAAATGATGAGTATAGCATTTAAGCAACTCTAGAAATATATTAAACGTCTGAACACCGTGGTATTATATTATAATACATCAATTAAAGTTTCATTTCTTTGATACTACACAATATTACAAACCCATTAGCTTCACTCTATCAACAAAAAACGACGACCAATCACGGGCACGTTCGCAATCTGTTACAACTACATCTAGGTGCAAGTGCGCTTAATTTTGTGCCTGGATCTTTTTCGTAGCACTTTCCGCCAACACCTGCTTGTGGAATTCAGCCATGCGGCGTTCGAGTTCGGGGCGGAAATGACGAATCAAGCCCTGAAACACACTCTGTTGACGTCTGACAAGCAAAAAAAAAATGAACAGACGTTCTCCTCCTAAACATATAAATCATTTTAAGTTCTTTTTACACAAAAGATTCACTATATACAATTCTCAGAGTGACTGAGGAGCATAAATAAGTCAGGATACGTTTAACAACCTACACGCCTCATATTTCCATTATAACCCATTACTCAACTTTTCTACAAATATCTAGCGAGATCAAACAAAAACCTCAGGTGGAAGTCTCAATGCTGTGGTCTGTAGCTCTCCGCTGAGCACATTCACCAAAAACGTAACAAAACGGCAAAATTACCCAATGCAGATTCTCAATTTTAGAAGGAAACCTTTTCAACTGTAGTGAGATGCGCACATAAAATTAAATGCACCACATGCAAGGAACACAATCCCGTCCCGAAAATAGACCAAACAAGTTTCTTTG